GGACTAGCACCAGGTCGTGGACCGGGGGTTGGGGACCCCTGATCTAGAATACAAGGGACTAATACCAATGTTATTCTTAGAGTGGATCCACTGAAATGAATGGGACTTGTCAGTTACAACTAAGTTGCGTCTCACTGATTCCAACATCAATCTTCCACATAAGATTGACATTCAATTTAACTCAAACTGTCTAGATTTAGTTACTTTTGGGGGGAAAAGGTTTATGTTACTGCTGTGAGGAACTATTCATGAAAAAGCAGTATGAAAAGACAGCTTTACTGGCAGGTGAGGTTGTTAAATAGTTTTGTTTGTTTTTATAGACTGTGCTACACTATACCTCCATCTGAAAGAAGGCATTAGATAATCAGATTTCTCCATGCAACTAAAACCCTGAAATTCTGCAATCTTCTACCACTTTTTTCAATAACTGGAACACAGTACAACTAATAAATAAGTAAAAAAACAACCCAACTTGTCTTCCCCTACAGCTGGCCTAACCTAACTGGATGGTCTATGAGCAGAGAAAAGTTCTGTTTGCTTTTCTTCATATGACGATTTTCTTCTCTGCTCTGCAGAACAACTTCTGTGTTTTAAAGTGGCTTAATCTGGATAGCCATTTGCAAGATCCATGCAAATAGCATCCCTGCCCATCAAACTGCTTCCTCAATATATACAATTGAACAGTTATTTAGTCTGATTAACCATAGTTTCCACCAATGTTTGAACTTTGCAAGGATTATTGCTCAGTGGCAGAAAACATGTGTAATATTCAGAACCCCCTCTTGGTTCAATCTCTGGCGCCTCCAAACATGTCTGCAAACGCTAAAAAACGTCTGGCAATCAATTTAACAATATTAAGCTAGAAGATCAAAGGTCGGACTTGGAACACATTTGTATGTTCCTACACAGATGGCAGGACAGCTCAATGGTTTAGGTTACTGCAGAGCCAGAGGTTGGGAGTTTGATTCCCTAGTGAACCTCTTGCATGTAGAGTCAGCCTGAATGGCCTTGGGCAACATACACAGTCCCAAGATACAACCAGAAGGAGGAAATGATAAACCACTTCTGAGTACTCTGTATCAGGAAAACCCCGAAAAAAGTCTTTAGTAGTGTGGCTATCTTCACTGTCAATACAAGAAACAGCCATAGTACAGAGCACACTGACGCTCAGACGATTTTGCACTATCAAGAGTTTGCTATATACCAGAGAAAGAAATGCACCTGGACAACTCTAGAAAATAGTCCAGGCAAAATAATGAATTACTTCAGTCAAAGGGATATGCAAATTTTCATCAGCATAGCACAGCCAGCAAGCTCCCCAAACTATAATTTGGATTTTGGTTTATATTTTTCACTTTTTTAAAAAAAAACCTCAAAACTATATTCTAATAGGGTGGATAACTCCTCTTTTTAATATTCCTCATATTCCTAGATGACAGCTTGAATTACTATTTTTGCATATTTTCTCCAAGCTCACGGAACGTGCACAACGTGGGGCAAACAAGTTCATTTTAGTCCACGGTACTATATTACGTATATATATTATTGTTTTACTAGACATTTACAACAGTAACACACTACCTCTGAAACTATATAGCAAGACAGAAATGTAGAACACAATTCCATTCAGGTCTACTGAGAAGTTCTACTCAGTTAAAGTCTTATTTTCCTCGGTGGACAGATTATAGCAGCTATATATAGTGTCTCCCTGGACAACACTAAAAGCATGTTACCACTTACTATCCCAGAAGCAACTCTGGTAAGAACCTGCTGCTTTTATTACACTGATGGCACTAAACCGAAGTGTGACCTTCCCTTCCAATCAAACCATTTAGTTCAATTCTATTCTCCCTTGTGAGAAATCTATACAGAGAATATTGTCCAGGTTTCATTCTGAGGACTGTCTGGTCCAGATTAAAAAATGGCTGAAATCTTGTTTGTGTTCATGTAATATTTGAATAACATGGTGCAGCTAACTGCTGCTAATGGATGAGATATGTCATGCATCTTAGTTGCGCAAATGGGTATATGACAAAGTAGGCGACTTAAGACACACTCTGTGACCTTATATATTAGCCACAATCAGTTGTGGCAAGTTACACAGACCTTACACAGACACCAACAGACTCCTGGCCAGGAGAGAAAAAGATTTCACATGCTAGGTTTTACGGTGGTGGAGGAGGTAAGAAAGGAAATCAAGAGAGAAATCAGTATGATTACAAAAACTCAGGTTTTACAGCTTCAAAATTTAAAAAACCCTTTGTACTTATGATAGCTGGGTTCAAAGCCTCCCTGAAAGCAGAAGCTTCCACAGATGTGAAGAAAAAAGCCAAGGGAAGAGAGTTTTCCATCCCACAGCTTTAAAAAGAGAAAGTTTAAGCACAGAAATTAAAGGCTGCAAACAATGCATTAGGGCTTTCAAATGCACCTCGTACACAGCAGACATGATAGCAGGGATGGTACATGAACTCCCACAAAGGTGTTCTGATAAAAGCTTAATTGCCTGGCAGTGGAAGCAAAACCTCAAGGTCTGCTAAGCTTCCAATACAATCATCAGGGCCAAGAAACCTTTCAACCATTCTATAGTGAAAACGTACACAGACACATACAAACACACACCATTAGTTGCTTCTGCCCATTTCAACCTCCCAGTGGATACAGAAAGACAGTTTGGATCAATTATCTCCTATCATCAAAGATCCTACTTTCTTGTTGTGCTGCTGTTGTAAAAGACTTGAACAGCACTTTTCCCAGGATTATGGATCATGGGGAGGATGAAATACAACTTCAAAACTACATAAGCTCTGACAAGAGAAACCACCGCTCAAAGGAGAATTTGCCTCAGCATCTGACAGCTTACTTACTCAAACTTTTCTAACAATTCACCAGAGAAGCGTCCTGCTGAAATGCCAGAACAAAGCATCTAAGAGTAACATCATAAAATTGATTTATGGATAGCAAACACTCTCTCACAGAAGGCTATGTTTTTATTTAAAGAGGTGGGTGGGTGACGTGTCTATTTCTTCCTCCCAAGTCCTCCAAAACACCAAATTTCCAATACACAATTATAATGCGAAGAGCGAATGTTGTTCTACACAGAACGGACATCTTTTTAAAAATGGGAGGTCATTTCAACACAACAGTAAAACCGACATTATGGAGCTGCAGCCAATGTCTTGAAGACTACACCTCATAGGTATATCCTTTGGAAAACCTGAATTTTCCAGTGAATGTACATTCCCATGTGTACACCAAAAATGTTACACATATACACCTTAAATGCTGCAATGGTCCCAGCTAAAGCCAGTGTTAATCTTGGGAAGAACAGAACCACTGAAAACAACTGGACTTTTATGACTAACAAGTTTCATCTATTCCAGTGGGTCTGATCTATGCAGGAGTAATATGATTATTAGCACAAGGTCTGCCACAACCTGGTTCAGAGTTATCCCCAATTTGAATCAATATTAAAAAGCATGTAGTTTAGAGTACAAATGCTGAACACCAACTTCTTATCAAAGTTACCTGACAGGAGTCCAGCATGTTATTTTAGAACCCATCTATTTCATGGGGCAAAGTGTGCCTCTCTAAAGCTGTTGAGATTGAAGATTCCAGCTAGAATGGTGTGGTTGGGGCTGATGAGAGCTAAACATCTAGATGGAAACAGGCTGCCCATTCTTTGAATTAAGGCACAGGTTCTTCACTGGGATCAAAAGAGGTCAGGATATTGTTGGCTGGTTTTTGAACAGATGTCCTTAATTTCCAATTATGCCCCACTGCGCGATAATAAAGACCTAGACTAAATGACATAGGCTGTTCTTATTCTTATTGTTTTCTTCTTGTTCTTTGACACCCACATATTCTCTGAGGACATCGTCTCCATCTGTATCCTCAAAATAACTTGATGAATCAGGTGAGACTAAGAGACAGGGACTGGCCCATGGCCATCCCTGTCCCTTGGTTAGTCCAACTTTCTAACCTCTACACCAGGGTTACCCAACCCCCAGTCCGTGGCCTACGCAGGACCAGGACGTGGAGACAGATCTCCCGCCCCCCCTGCACTCCCCCTCCATGCCCACACGCACGCACAGACCGCCCGCCCGGGTGTCCCACCCACCCACAAGAGCCCCTCACCCGTGAATGCGCCACGCCCACCTGTGCATGCATGTGAGTGTGCCCCGCCCACGTGCATGGGAGTACACCCTGCCCACCCGTGAGTGTGCCCCCCACGCAAGTGTGCCCTGCTCACCTGCGAGTGCACCCCTCCCCTCATGCATGCGAGCACGCCACACTCCCTGCAAGAGCACCCCGCTCACCCATGCATGTGCGTGAGCATGCCACATCCCCCCATAAGCATGTTCCGCCCCCCCAGTGAGTGTGGGGGTGCCCTGCCCCCATGCAAGGACCCACCCCCCAACTGGTCTGCGGTTCAGAAAAGGTTGGGGACCACCGCTCTACACCACACTGGCTCTTGGATTCTTAGACTGAGGCACTGCTCTCAGAAGTGAGGACAATAGATGGGCGAAAGAGTCAGCTAACCCTCTACTGGGCTGATGTCAGCACTTGTCTTTAAGTGAAAAACTTCTAGAATGCCCATGGTCCAACCTGGTTTTAGATTTGTAATGCAACAGTACATGTTCAGTGAGTGCACAATTAATTTCTTGTACATCCTTGAATATGGCCACTCTCTCCTAAGAACATGAAGTACTTTGTTCATCTGGATAAGTCTATGTTCCAAAGCACTCCTCACAAGAACCCCTTCAATTAGCATGCATGAGCTGGTCCATCAGAAATTGATTAGTGGCCCAAAAGTAGAGGAACACCTATTTTCGGCCTACCTCTTATTAAAAGACTTTAGAACAATTAATGGATTTAACCATGATACAATTCTTCCTTATTTTAAGATTAACAATACTTTTGCACCTCTGGAATTCCACTCTCTCTTCCCTTTGGAAAGGGGAACGAGAGAAAGCATGGGTATACAGAGGAACCCTACATACCTTATTCGTTGCAGTAGCACTGGATCCTGCGACCACAGGCACATTTGTCACTTGCACTGACAAGTAGTTGTTGTCTATGAGAGGCCAGGCCCCCTCCACTTTGCATGTCTGAAAGTGATCCTTAAAGGTCCGTAGGTGGGGGTCTCCAAACAAGCCACAGAAAAGGTAAGTAGGAGGTATCTGTTCTCCTCCACGCTGCTCTCTGGCTCCCTGTAGCCCACTGTAATTACATGGGTCGTGGGTCACTTCAGGGTTTGTTGAGGATGTTGGGCCATCCTTGGAGCAGTTCCTCTGGCTCATGAGATCACTGATGCCCAAAACAGCAGAATGGTACACCAGATTTCCACGGCAAGCTTTGGAATTGCGGGTGGTGCAGGCAGAGTAGGCACGCAGGGCTTTGCAGAACTCCAAATCAAAGCCATCAATGGCAGGGCTGAGATGAGAAGTTAGTGATACAAAGTCCGTAGTACACTTCTGGATGCGGCATGGAGTTTGCAGCTGACAATCACCTAAACAGAAACACAAAAGAAGAGAGATTGATATTTGTCAAGTCTTCCAAGGGAAGAGATCTCAACCCTTTAAGGCAACCCACAGGATATACCTGACTCAAATATAATGTGTTCCATTTCTATTCCTCTAAGGCAGGCTGAACATGTTCAGCACTTTCCTGTCCATCTTATTCAGAAATGTGTCATTGATTTCAATAGGGCTTATTCCTAAATAATGGTGCATGTGACTCCAACCTCAATCAAAGATCAACAAACTACTTCACTCAGCTGTTAGCTAGCATTGAGGTTACAAAGTGATTTGGAACTTGATCTTGTGCTTGCTTGACTAGAACAATTTGCTCACCACCTGTAAGAGCGATTTGCTTCCAACCTCCCCCCCTCCTCCATGGTAATGCTTGAGCATGTTCCAGGATCCCACGTTCTTACATTGGTATGACTTTGACGTTCTACTGAATGGAAGAAGCTCACTTAAAATGCCACCTAAAACATTTTACATCATAGAATTTTAGAGGAAGTGCAGTAATAATGGCAACACAGAATACACATACAACTGCGCACACACGTGATGAACGAACAAAGTACTGTACAGGGTGCGCACAGGCACTTTCTGGCAGAAAAGAAAAACGCAGGCCCCAGACTCTGTTTGATTTCCTTCCTGGCCGAAACCCAAGTATTTGGTTTCTTTACAGAAAGATGGGGCTTCAACCCAGCCTCCCACAATTATTTAAAACTACACTTAATGTTTGTTAAGGACAGAAACCACACACTGCAGTTATTCCTAGTAGCCTAGGGGGGAGACGGGGAGGGGGCACAGAAGGCAGGTGGTAACTTTACAACTCAATTCACTTTTGTAAAAACAAAACAAAACCAGACAGTACCAGCTTCATACTACGTCATGACCGCCTGGCTTCTGGAAAGAAGGCTGGCTAAGCACTGCCAGTAAAAGAACTCCCTCCTCCCCCATACAGAGCTCTCCATACAGAGTTCTTAAGGAAATTCAGCTGAAACCACACACTCATGCAGGGCCATAATAAAATCAACACAACAGGACAGGCTTCCAGATGGCTTGGACTAAAACGCCCTAGATTCCTGACTATCAGCCATGCTACGCTGGCTAGGACTTGCAAGTCCAAAACATCTGGTTGGAAAAGGCTATAAGGAGCCATTCCAGCTTGAGCTTGAGGACTACTTCACACATCAGACATTTATATACAGCATATGGCCAAACGACAAGGGAGCTAGTGACTGGCCAAGGCTCCCTGGTGGTTACACACTTCTGTAAAGCACATATACAGGAAGTTGGCCACAGCATATGGGAAGAGGAGTCAGCTAATATTCTGGCTCTGTTCCTCTACGAAAGGCCAACCAAGCTAGAGAAGAGTTAAGCAGATATGCCCTGATAATGACACAACACTAGTTTAGAAGAGGTGCTTTTCTTTAATCACCAAGAATCACTGCTCAGTCCCTACTGCTAGAGAGGGGAAAGAAAACAAAGCCAGCAGAGGAAGGCACTCCTCACAGAACCTTCATTTACATTTTAAAAAACAAAGTATTTCAAAAAATTTCCACACTTTCTTCAGGGCCAAGATTATAAAGGGAGATGACGCACCTTTACAATTAACTAAACTGTAAAAGAATTACAACAACAAATATTTCTAAGAAATTTGTAAGAAGCCACAAGTGCATACAGCATTTCTTAACCAGTCCTCAGAAACATTGTTTATTCTTACTCCCTAGTCTCTCCCGTAGAAGAGGTGCTTCTCTTTAATCACCGAGAATCACTGCTCACTCCCTACTGCTAGAGAGGGGAAAGAAAACAAAGCCAGCAGAGGAAGGCACTCCTCACAGAACCTTCATTTACATTTTAAAAAACAAAGTATTTCAAAAAATTTCCACACTTTCTTCAGGGCCAAGATTATAAAGGGAGATGACGCACCTTTACAATTAACTAAACTGTAAAAGAATTACAACAACAAATATTTCTAAGAAATTTGTAAGAAGCCACAAATGCATACAGCATTTCTTAACTGGTCCTCAGAAACATTGTTTATTCTTACTCCCTAGTCTCCCCATGAGGAAGTAGTTACAGAATTCTCAGAAATGCAAAATAATACATTTTCCTGCTGTCCTTCTAAGGAGGGGGTGTGACTCAGCGACAGAACTAAGGGCTTTGAATGCAGAAGATTCTGGGGAAAATTCCTGCCTGAAACCCTGCAGAGTCACTCACAATGTCCATAACACTGTATTAGATGTACATGTAAGCTTTCACATTTTGGGGCAGAAATGCTCAGAATTCCCAATAAATTCTCCAAGCAGAATTGTGGGACCAATGTCCATAACACTGTATTAGATGAACTAAGGGTACAGGTAAGCTTTCACATTTTGGGGCAGAAATGCTCAGAATTCCCAATAAATTCTCCAAGCAGAATTGTGGGAGATGCAGCTTAGAAATAGAAAGCCACAAACCTACCTCCATCGCTACTTTCTGTGGACTGCTTCCACTTTCAAAAACATACAAGTATTACCTGGGAACTGTATCTCTTTGGGAGGCCCTCTCTATAGGGCCAATGGGCAGTGAGACTATGACTCCCAATATCCTCTGTGCCCAGGAGGACCTGGCCCCACTGATCAATTACCAGCCCACGTAGCCACGGGACCAACCAATGGGGCAGGCCCTCCCGGACACGAAATGTGTTGGGAGTCATAGTTTCTCTGCATATTACGCTCTATAGAGGGCACTTCTCAAAGAACAAGGATCCTCAGGAAGACTTATGATTCCCAAGTTGCACCACCACAGCTTCCTTATTTTGGAAAGTAGAAACAGGATGGAGAACGCAGTGATGGTGCTTTATATTTCTGCCCTACATCTTCCAGAATTCTGCCTGGGGAATCCCTAAAGAATTCTGGGAATTGCAGCCTGAAAGTACAAAACACCACATGCCTATAACTTAAGACTCTGTACAGTCGTGCCCCGCTTTACGATTACCACACATTACGACAAATCTGCTTCACGGCGACGTTTTTGTGATTGTTTTTGCGATCGTAAAATGATGGTCTAAATAGGGTCTTTTCGCTTTGCAATGATCGGTTCCCTGCTTCAGGAACTGATTCTTCGCAAAAATTATGTTTTTTTAACAGCTGACCGGCAGTTTCAAAATGGCCACCAGGTAATTAAAATGGCTCCCCACTGTGTTTAGGGACGGATTCCTCGCTATACAGGCAACAAAAATGGCCACCGTATGGAGGATCTTCGCTGGACGGTGAGTTTTTAGCCCATTGGAATGCACTGAATGGTTTTCAATGAGTTTCACTTCGGAAAAATGATGTTTTTTTAACAGCTGACCGGCGGTTTCAAAATGGCCACCAGGTAATTAAAATGGCTCCCCACTGTGTTTAGGGACGGATTCCTCGCTATACAGGCAACAAAAATGGCCACCGTATGGAGGATCTTCGCTGGACGGTGAGTTTTTAGCCCATTGGAATGCACTGAATGGTTTTCAATGAGTTTCAATGGGCTTTTTATTTTCGCTTTATGACGTTTTTGCTTAACAGCGATTTTCCTGGAACGGATTATTGCCGTTAAGCGAGGCACCACTGTATAAGGCACCTTCCCATGCCTTTCCCTTTCAGGAAGGAAGAAGCAGCTTTACTCACACTGTTTGCAGGGCTGAAGCTCCATTTTGCTCCACAGCCTCACTCCAGCTGCCACCAAATTTTAAGAGGAAATTTGGCAGTGTTCACCTGAACTTGACTGCAACTGAATTTTGACAGGGGCACAGCCTTCTGTGAGTTGAGGGAAATCTAATGGCGTTCCCCAACTCTGGAAGCTGCCTATCCCCGTCTTAAACCTAGAGAGTGAAGTTTGATAGTTCTAGTTACATCATACCTGCCGAATGAATAGGACTTGTTATATGAGTCTCACGAATTAAATTAATGCATTCTAGCTCATCCTACCAACAGAATTTAACCATGAGAGACCAAAAAAGTGTTTCTTCAAAATATTTATTTCAAGAGTCTGAGGGCCAGCATCACTACCAAACTCTCGCAATAACCAAAGTCCAGGAAGAGTTCTGGCTCCTCCAGTCCAGTGCAGCAGCTCCATAAGCACAGCTTTTGAAGACAAACTAACATAAATGGACGGTTGGGAGAGAAGAATCTTCAAGAACCTGGGCTATTTTGAATAGAATGAAGAAAACACTGGCTTAAGCAATAACTGGAATGCTGTGTAGTTCCAAATTCAATACTGGATCCTATTATTTCAATAAGAGAGTTGGAGGAATAGGTCCTTTATTATTATTATTGTTATTATTGTTGTTATTATTATTACTACCACCACCACCATCATCATCATCTTACATCTAGGGAAGATACATGAAGAAGTTACCATTAATTAACAAGAAGGGGAAAAAACCTGTTCAATTCTGACCAGGCCTTTACTGAATTCCAGTGCAGTTTTAAAATACCAAAGAGCTTCATAGAAACATTCCCTCTGATTTTCAGCCCTGCTGGGTGGGGCTCTGCCCCTCATACACAAAATTTCACACCCACACCGGGTTCTGTCACAACTGGAAGCAAAGGGGCTGAAAACTATTGTTGTTGGTGAGTGGAGGAGGAAGTAGAATGTGTGGGGGTGGCAGAGTTGCATATGCACCTTAGGGGCATGACTTTGCTTCAGAGGACTTAAAACTTTGTGCTACAAACTGATGAAACCTCAGAAACAAAGTGTTCTTTATTATCTGATCCAAATTTCATGCACAGAACACACTTACATACTTCAAACCGTTATCTATAATGCTCTTATATAGCTACTCAATTATCAGGATAATTATCTGTCAGTTTAAAGACATCAGCAACTTCATCTGTGCTGATTGTATGAAAAAAAGCTAAAGATGGCCAATGAAGTTACTGTACAGTATAATAAACTTTTACTTACTTACTTTACTTATTACCTTTCTCCCCAGAGGAGACCAAAAGTGGCTTACAACAGATAAAACGACAGT